CCTTCTTTCAGCTGGAAAAGGGGGAGGTGGTTAACTTTCAGAAAACTTGTTGAGATCAAAGCAAAACATCTCGGTTACGTATGTAACCTTGGTTCCCTGAGTAGGGGAACGAGATGCTGCGATGACGTCATCGCTTTGGGAACACCTTCGGTGTGACGAATGTCTGAAGCCCTTATACCATCACGCCAATTCATTGGCCAAATAGCGCTTAGCACCGCCCCCAAAGCGCACGTAGGTGCGCTATATAGCGTGCTGCACGCTATTTTCATCAGATTTCACTGATTTACAAAGGAAGCGCTATCAAGGTACGGAACGGCCGAGCATCGCAGCATCTCGTTCCCCTACTCAGGGAACCAAGGTTACATACGTAACCGAGATGTTCCCTCTCATAGGCTCACTTCGATGCTGCGATGACGTTATCGCTTTGGGAACACCTTCGGTGTGACGAATGTCTGAAGCCCTTATACCATCACGCCAATTCATTGGCCAAATAGCGCTTAGCACCGCCCCCACCTCGGCTGGGGAAAAAGCCTCCAGGACCACTTGTTGAAAGCAAAACGAATCGACCTTCGAAGCGACCTTCGGAACATAATCAGGCCTAGGTCGCAAAAAGACTTTTACCAGTCCTGGTGCAAAGTCCATACACGAAGGACTAATGGAGAGAGCCTGCAGGTCCCCTACCCTCTTAAGGGAGGATAAAGCCACCAAAAGAACGGTCTTAATGGTCAGTAACTTCTCTGACACTGTCTCCATCGGTTCAAAGGGATAGCCAGTCAGACCCTCCAACACAATCGATAAGTCCCAAGAAGGGACTCGGGCTGGGCGGAAAGGCCTAAGCCGTCTCGAACCTCGACCTGGGATATGGACTGCTCTGATCAACAGGAACTTTGTCTAAGCCCAGAGAAGAATACGCCTCGCCAGCCTGCAAAGGGGGCGAGAACGTAATCCCCCTTGACGATTGAGGTACGACACAACTGCCATGTTGTCTGTCCTGACCAACACATGATAACCCCTCAGCTGGGGTAAGAACTGTTCGAGAGCCAGGAGAACCGCAAGCATCTCAACAGGTCCGTATTGACTGTACACGAGCGGGAGACAGCCGTGCCCACATCGTGCAAGAGTCCAAATCCACCCCCAAAAAGGTTGTCTGCCGAGACGGCAGCAGGACACTCTTTTGAAGGTTCGTCCGTAACCCTAGGCTCCTCAACTGATCGAGTACCAGATCTCGATGTATCCGTGCCTGATCCTGAGATTGAGCTAGTATTAGCCAATCGTCCAGGTAGTTCAAAATTCGGACGCCCTGGAGCCGCAACGGGGCCAGAGCTGCGTCCATGCACGGGGTAACCTAGGCGGTGGCTCATGCCGCTGGACCTCGTGGTGCTGTAAGGACGAAGAGCGTGAGCGGGCCGTAGGTGGCTGATGCTCCACTTCTCTAGCCCTGCGAGGGATGAGTTGACGGAACGCAGCGGACTGCTGTTTCGCTGCTCTAAACTTTTCCACGACCGTAGTGACGAGTCTCCGAACAGACCGTCACTCGAAATGGGGGCGTCCAGGAGAAAGGTTCTGTCCTTCTCCTTAATGTCAGTGAGAGTAAGCCAAAGATGGCGCTCAGCTGACACTAACCCTGCCATGGACCTGCCCACTGCCCGAGCTGTGTGCTTGGTAGCCCTAAGCGCCAAGTCAGTAGCTCGTCTGAGCTCTTTAACGGCCTCTGGAGTCAAGCCTTCTCCCTCGTCCAGCTCCTTGAGCACGTCTGCCTGATAAGCCTGGAGTACACCCATAGAATGGAGTGTAGCCGCGGCCTGCCCAGCGGCCATGTAAGATTTCCCGATCAAAGCGGAAGTAACCCTACACGGCTTGGACGGTAGCAGAGGGCGTGACTTCCAAGACGGAGCGGAGTTCGGCGTGAGATGTGCCGCGAGAGTCTCTTCTATGGCGAAGGTGTTCCCAAAGCGATGACGTCATCGCAGCATCGAAGTGCGCCTATGAGAGGGAATTTCAGCCATTCAATTATTTTCTTTTTATTCTCTATGTGGTTTGATTTACAAAAATGTTTAAATGCAGTTTAAACACTGAAATGTTTGAAAAGAAAAAAAAATGGCCAAACCTTTCAAATTTATTAAAGATCCATTTTTGTTTTGTACATTTTTTCTTATAATAACTTAAGTAGTATGGTTAATAATGACGAAGTCTATAAACAGAAAATAAGTCTGAATGAGAATATTTGCTTGCCTTCTCATCATGGTGTATAAAGAGTCCAAATAAGTCACACAACTGATAAATAAAATTAGATGAGTACATTTTTTACTACTATGGATTGCATATCACTTCAAATGATTGACAAAAGTTGTGTCTCTAATGCTTTAAAAAAAAAATCACAGGACAACAAAGTGCACCGTATTCATGGAATGTGCCAGTAGCTCGTAGATTGTATAAATAAGGAATTTTATCTGCTTCATTCCAAGAATCACTCAGACTCCAAGTGCCACACTATAAATAAACCAATCATGTAACGTCCTCCTCAGTGTATATAAGATTCCTTCCAAAGCGTCAGTCAAAGCAAAATGACAAAATACTTTAAAAAGAGATGAGATGGTACCACATTTTTTTTTAATCCAAACCTCAAGTTAACAGATCAACAGATTTTTTTTCCCTGATATCATTTTTTGTTTATTCTTGTTGTCATTACAGTAGATACTTTTATCTGGATACAGTTATCTTGCTGGTTTAATTTACGACATTTAACAGAGGTTATCTGACTTCCTTCCCCAGTGCAGGAGTTCAAAAATAACCACTCTGAAGAATGAAATTTTTTCACGAAAGTTAGAAGATGCATTTCCTTTCAAGAAGCTCACATTAATCGAGAAATGTGTGTTTTCCTAGACGCACAGTGAAGGATGCAAGGTGCTATTGTACGAGTTTGCATGGTGGTAGTAGCCGCTATCCTCAACCACCCGCTGCTCTTCCCTAATGAAAACACCACCATCCCTGAGCAAGATGACGAGCTCCTGACCCGGATGAAGGAGCACCAGGAGAAGCTGGAGGCCGAACAGAAGCGCCTAGAACAGGAGATCTCACAAACAGAAACAGCTCTGATTGATGATGATCAGGAAAGTTACAGCTGGTACTTTTGGAGCACTCTCTGCCTAGTCATTTTCTTCACAATTGAGGTGTGCAGGCAGGATATGATCCCTATTGAAATGCCAGACTCCATGGAAGATGAAGATGGAGATTCCAGTGCCGAATATCTCAGCGCCAAGACTGTAGCCCTAGATAAAGGTGTCCTAAGTAACTTCTGCAAGACCCGCTTCCATCCTTTCATCCACGAGAGCAGGAGAGTGCGAGAGTTTATCGAGGGCTTTGCGGATGATCTGCTCGAGGCTTTGAGAAGTGTTTGCGATCGAGATTCTGACCTGGAAGTCGAGGACTTTGTTGGCATAGGCAGCATGTTTGAGTCCTGGAGGGTGTCTAAACCTCCTACATGTGACCTCATTGTGCCTTTTGCTCCTCCACGGCCATTCAGGTTCCAGTTTCAGCTCGGCTGCGACCCCTCCACTGAAATTCCACTGGACTTGCAAGGATGTGGAAGGATTAAACTAATAAAACCAGGTGGAAATGGCACAGACTGTCTTTGTGGCTCAACCAATCTGGGTGATGATATGCTGTGTCTGCTTCACAATAGAAATGAGAGTGAAAGGCTTGAGGAACACACACTGGTGGAGCTCCTCTGTGAGAAGAACACCTCGTATTTGTCGAAAGATCAGATCATGAGATGGTTCCAGATCTCGGTGAGCAAAGCATGGGGCCAGATCTCTCATAAGTACGATTTTGAGCTGGCATTTCGAAACCTAGACTTCCCTGGAGCTCTGAAAATCAGATTTAGGTCTGGAAAGACCGTCACTCTTAACATTACCCCTGCCGTTCAGTTTGAGGACACGGATGCTTACCTCATCTCTCATTTCCCTTCTGACACTAGTAACCCCTCAGACATTCACTGGCAACTCTCACTAACTGTTTATGAAAAGAACCTGCTTAAACATCTAGCAAAACGACTTCCTACAAATTCGTGTCATGTTCACTGTCTTCAGATAGTTTCTTTCTTGCACAAAAAGCAGACAGCTTTGACTGGGAGAAGCGCCTTTTCTAATTACCATATAAAGACGGCACTTTTGCATCTGCTGTTGAGTAAACGTCCTGCGATGTGGCAGCCGCAGAATCTCGATCACAGATTACGAGATCTGCTGAGCTTCCTGCAGCAAAGCCTGGAGGAAAAGAGACTCTATCACATTGTTGTTGGCAACCCTCACATCCCAGTGGAAATTCTGGTTCCCAAAATATTCCGTACTGCAGAACCGATAAACCTGTTTAGGCCTCTTGTATTGCAGAGGCACGTATATGCCAAAATGGAGGAGCATTTTCAAGAGATGGTTAAAAATACCTCTGTGCTTGTTCAAGAATATAGCCCTCACTTTTCGAATGGTTACGTGAGACATGAATTTAGCTCAACAGACCAGACATAGACTTACTCACTGCTCTGGCTTTGAGTGCAGGCCAGGGGATTTTTACAGCCTAATTACGTGATGACGTTATGCACCTCAAATGTAAACAACATGTTAAGCACTGACTGTTTCTGATGCTATGATGATATTTGGGTGTTTCTTTTACTATGGGCTTTTTTTTTTTTGTCCCAGGGGCCAAATTTTAACTTTTACATTTGTGTTATACGTAGGTCATGTTAAAGCAGTCTCGTCAACTTTTGTCTATTTTTTAGCATTTATTTTTGTTACTTTTCAAATATATATATATCTTTTATTGTTTTACTCTTGTCCCAGACTGAGACATTCAATCTGAAAATATAAAATCCATCATAAAAATATGATCATTACATTTTTTAATTATCATAACAAAGAGTGAATTAATTTAATAATTTAAATGAAAACAAATATATAAATTTGTACACTTTACAACTTCTCCTTAGTTTTGGTGTTATTTTCACTACAATAAACAAACTTTGCATCTAATAATAAAAATAATAATAATACAGTTTATTGCAAAAGTTACTGTTTGTTTGTTTGTTTTTACCAAGGGGACAGTGCCAGTGTAGAGCATGCTGGAGTTGAAATAAGATGTAATGTGTGAAGAAAATCAAGGTAAATATCACCTAATAACAGTTATTTTTATCATGCATCAGCTGTAATGTTGTTTATGAAATAATTTAAATCAAGTATGTATTTAAAATATCTAAAATGCTTGCTGTGAAATTGTCCTTAGCAAGACAAAGATTTTCTGAAAAAAAAAAAAAAGTTTAAAATGAAATTTCCACCACAGAATGTTACCAAACACAATACATAATTTGAGATGTGACTGAAATGACGTTGCTGCTATAAAATAATAGGATTTTAAGAAAGTTTATTTTCCTAAAGTCCACAGGGCTAAAAGTGCACATGGTTGAAGAAACACCCACTTGCTATCATCATTCTGGCAGCTGATTCAGGATCTTTGAACCATAAGTTATTGCAAATGATGTAATATCATGTTAAGAGTTTAAATTATGTAACATTATCAGAGTATTTAGCAGTATTATCAGTTTTGATCTTGTATGTCAACACAAGTGATTGTTGAAATGCCTAAACAATGTATGAGCAGCAAGCACATCTAAAGAAATGGTGCACAGTGGCATGTACAGGCCCAAGCAGAAGCTGTTTCACAGGTTTGAAAAGGGCTTTTTTATCTTTTCTGTAGTTTGCACTGGTTTTACTCTTTGTAGTCTTTGTCTTGGATTTTTTTTTTAAACAGAGATGCACTAAACAAACTTTTATGCAGTATGCAGTTGTGCAGTTTCCCCTCCCAGGAAGCAATATTGTTGTGCAGCCCCATGACATGCAGTGCATGGCTCAGTAGCATTTCACTTGTGACCAAAGAGGAAACTGGTTATATATAGAGAGATTTATATTTACATTTATGCATTTGGCAAAAGCTTTTATCCAAAGCAAGTTACACTGCATTCAAGGTACACATTTATGTTTTATAAGTTCTTGATTTCTCTGGAAATCAACCCCATGACCTACTGGAAAGATAAGTCATTAAAGGAATAAACACAAGGATATAAGATTTGTCCAAAATATAATGTTTATATTATGTATGTTTGGTTTATTTATATTCATGTATGAAAGACAGACATGGTAATATACCCATTGTAGCCATTTTTACATGGCCTTCTGGGATCTAGTCTAAGGTCTGAGGCTTAAAAGCACAACTGGCTATAAATTCGGTATAAAAAATATTTAGACTAAGAAAAGAGTTATTTTACTCTATAAACCATGATCATAATTAGGGTTTCCGTCCATGTAGGTGTTGAAGAACACTTTGTGATCCTCTGTGTTGAACATGGTGGCTTTGACCACTGGATCCTCGAACATGCATTCAATCCACTTCCTTAACTCAGGGGTGTTGGCCAAACAACTGAAACACAAATAGAGACACAGAACTATTAGGTTTACAAGCAAGCTATGCTTTACATACAAAAGATGGTTGCATTCACAAGAAGTTTACTTGTGAAGACATGTACTTGTGTGCATAAAGTTCACTTAACCAAAGTGCTTTTCAATTCAGCTGGAACCAGAGCCCTACCTTTACTAATCTCAGTCATTCATCACTGTTTTCATATCTGTTCAACTTAACCTCTATGACTCAGCACACTATTCCTCTTGCTGTCGGGTAAAATATGTACAGTATGTTTTATCATACATTCATTATATATTGCATACATGTACTAATTTAAAAAAACGTACTGCTTTACGCCCATCATCTCTGCCCTCTCAAACCATGGCCAGATCAAGTAGTCGATCATTGTGATTGAATCGCCCCCAAAATATTTGGTCTTCTTTTTCGCCAGATACTGAAAAAAGGTATTAAAAAAAAAAAAGCAGTTAATACATTGTTATGATATACTTTCAGAAAGTGTAAGAATTTTAGCCCACCTCATGTAGTTGGGAGACTTTTTCTGTAAATTCTACTTCAGCTGCTGAGACATCCTCTCCTCTTTTCTTGCCCATAGAGATCTTATAGAAGTATGGAATCACCTGAAATGAGGGTGAATTTCCAAAAATCAATGCATAAATTCACTTGAATCAAAAAACAATGAAGATACATAAGGTACATGTTTCAAAATGACAAACTGCCTACCTTTGAATAATGATCCAGCAGCATTCTCTGTTGGGCCCTCTCAAATGGGTCAGATGGGAGCAGTCTCTTCTCAGGGTAGGTCTCATCCAAGTACTCGCAGGTGATTGGCGACTCGTAGATCACCTGACCACTTGAGGTTTCCAATACTGGCACTGTCCCTGAAGGATTCTTCTCCAGAAACCAATCAGGCTTATCCTTCAAATTGATGTTGATAATTTCATGTCTATGCAAAAGGAATATAAAATCAATAGGCCTACTAGTTAGTGGATAGATATTTAAGAGAGTGATTTTCCTCACAACCACAACAAAAAATGTTAATTAAGACACTCAAATCTAATTTACGCTCTAAATATCATATGTACACATTAGGCACACCTCAAACCTCCATGTAACCCAATACTGCACAGCAGGTCAACATTAGTACTCACTTAACTCCCTTGGCAGTGAGCACCAGTCTTGCTCTCTGAGCAAATGGACAAAATCTCATGCTGTAGAGGCGAATAAGACCATTCGGCACTGGTCCGGGAGCAGGACATGCTGTTACACCAATGAAACACATGGGGCACAATAATGTACATATTTACATACATAGGCTATGAAAAAGTTATTTACATAATATGGATGGAATTTCATCAGTAACATAATGTGGTCCACTAAGCTGTCCCGGCTCTTAACTGTTTATGAATTACATTTTTAAAGTTTATAATCTGTTTTATCAGAAATATCTTTTTTTTAACAATGATTACGCAACGTCGTGGTCTGATAACATCTGGGAGAGTTTTCTGCAACCGGGTTGGTAATGAAACTCTTGTGGATAATGAAACTAGCTGAACGTCTATGCAGACGAACGTGAATTCATATCTGGGTGTATTTATAAATGCTTTTCCATTTACAAGTTATAGATCAAACAATGAAAGCATTGTGAGCGAGTCTAATTTCCATGCTTTCTCTTACCTTTTCCGTGGCATTTTGGAGATGGAGCCATTATCAGAGTGTTCACTTAAAGAAGATCTTAAAGGAGGAAATGAAACGATCGATGGTAAGCCTACAAACAATAGAAAAACATTAACGTAAGCGTTTTATGCATAAGAATCAAAAACTGTGTTACATAAGAAAAAATACTTTTGCGGCTATCATAGATGCTTAACATGTTTTACTAAAAGCAAACAAAAATTAATTCAACGTTTGCTCACCTGTTGAACCGGCTGACCTGACTGAAGTAAACGTTAGCTAGAAAGTTGAGTTTTTATGGAAGAATAGGTGTGGCTGAAGATAATGACTCCTCCTCTTACATACTTACTATTAACTTACACCCATGTTACTTTCAAAATAAAGCTCTTGTTCACTACAAAAGGTTCTTAAAGGTACTTCTCGTCGATTGAAGAGTAGAAATACCATATTAATTTTTACAACTATTTAACGACTATAAATGATAAACTGCTCAGAAGTCTGCTATTATCTTCGGATGTGCTGATTTACTGTGCATTTCTCTGATTATGCCGTGTTTCCTGTACAATCAACTATGAACATGCCAGACCAAATAGTGACAGCTATGTTGCGGAACACATATTCTTCGTATCACTGCGCTCTTACAACTGATCGTTTTTTTTCTGCCAGAGATTGTATCTTCTAGCGGAAAGATACAATTTAAAATTTAAAAACAGCGCGTGTTCTTACTACTTTTAATATTTATTTCACAGTTATACAACATAGCCTCCAAAAGCACAAACATAAGTTAATAATAAATAATAAATAAAGTGAATTAAAGTTGTTTGTGAAATGAAAACATTAAATACATTTAGAAAATAAATGTCATTAAATCATTTTGCATTTTAATAGTATGATACGTGATAAACTGTAACAAAATCAGTTGGGGACAGTTTGACCTGCAAGCATCATAATAATTCATTATAATAATTCCTTAGTGTATGGAGCCCACAACAATTAAAAACATTAAAACATTATTATTTTTTTGCATTTTATAATTCATAGATCATTTTTCAATATAGGCCACTGAACTAGGAAATGTCCCCCGTTTCCATTTCACTTCATTTTATTAACCATTTATTAATCCTTGTCTAACAACAACAGACATGACTATATTCACAATATAGCTTCTTGTATCGTATTGCAGACGTAAGAGTTGGGATGACAACTGATTTCTGGATTGTGTAATGACTTTTTATCTTCTTATCTGTATCACAAGTCAAGTACAACATCTTATTAAATAAAAAGACAATCTAATCTATGTTTCCACATAATGCTCACTGTTTATGTTTCTGTTGTTAGTGTGGGTGTCTTGCAAAGTCCTGCAAATGTTTCAATTTGCAGTTCTACATCTACAGAATGAGTCAGCATGTTAGTTTGTCAGTATAGACCTTTCTGGAGAAAAAAAAATATTTTTGTGAATTTACCCTAACACAAGGGTCACTTGTTCATAGGTTATGACACAGACATCTCAAAGCTTCTGTTGTGTGAAGTCAAGCTTAGCAATGCAATAAATATTTAAGAGGCAACTGGCAGATGTCCATTGTTAGTTTTTAGCTTTATTGTTCTGGACAGGGTGGAGCACTTCAGCAAACAAGTGAAGAATCGAAAAAAATCACCTAACCCCTTTACTGCATTTTATAATCAACTTTGACTACTGCAGAAAAAAAAAACTAAGATATTTAGTTTCTTTCTTCTTCTGAAAACAGAAGAAAATATTTTGAAGAACCAAATAGTTGATGGTAGCCATTGACTAAGACTTGTTTTTTTTTTCACACTATGGAAGTCAATGGCTACCGTCAGCTGTTTGGTTCCTCACATTCTTTAAAATATCACCTGTGTTCAACAGAAGAAGAAAAAAACTCGTATAGATTTAGTACTTATCATGGTATTTGCTTCTACTCTGGTATGGTGAGCTGAAGAGGACAGATTTAGGTGGTTATCTTTCCTCCATGTCTGTAAAACCTCAGTGGCACCTGCTTCTGGCAAGTTTATGGATCACATATAATCCTGAGAACTTGGTGTATGATGGTGACTCACTAGAGAAGTGGTGGACACCTAATGATTAGGGCTATTAGGGCCATTTATGCAAACACTGCAGGTTAAACTCCAGAGAGGTGTGACCACTGAACTGAGATAATGAAAACCCTGTTAAACCTTGAGCAGGGGGACAGTACCTGCAGTTGGCATACTTATATTCCAGTATAGTAACGATAGCATTTATACTGGAATATCTCCTTACAGGCCATCAAAGAATGAAGCTGGTCTAAAAATGGATTAGTCAAAAATAAGATAATGTTTACAGTGTAGAGAATATTTAATCTATTGAATGAACTCCAGAAAGTTTTGTTTCATTATTTATTTTATTTAATTGTACTGACAATTTTTGGTTGTTGTTGTACTGACAAATTTTGTTGTTGCATATAATTCATTCTGATAAAGAAAAAATTATAATAATCAGGCACTATAACCTTACCAGTTATATAAGATTTTTAGATTTATGTATTTTGATATCCACAAAGAGACAAAAAGGTTGATATACCAGGCATGAAATTCTCTTTTCATATTAATTAGCATCACAGTATAAAAGATGGACTGATATTAATGTACCTTCTGAATCAGACAGGTGTGTTTTACCAGAGAACAAGGATTTATTCTATAAACCATAATCATAATCGGGATTTCCTTCCTTGTAGGACTTGTAGAACACCTTGTAGGTGTCTGTGCTGAACATTGTGGCTTTTACAGTGGGATCCTCCAACATGTGTTCAGTCCACTTCTTCAGCCGAGGAGTGTCATCCAAGCAGCTGAAAATTATGAAGAGAGAGTGTTAATATTCGAAGAAATCATTTGCAATTCTTTAAATATAAAAACGTACTTACAGACTGTGAGTCAGAACCGGAGGCCTAGACTGAGCGGAGGCCGGCTTGAGTGAGTGGCGGCGGGCTTGCGGCAACCACATGTGACGACCCCGGGCTGGACTCCGCTTCGTCCACGGGGAAAGCCGATCCGGCGATCCACAGCGCAATCGCATCATATGACCCCTTTAAAGCACAATTTTAGCAGGATGTGAAACTGAGATCTGAACTCAACTGAAAAGTATCTCCTGACATCCGTTTAACATCAGAAATACAATATTGGATCTTTATTCCACTCAATTATGATATTATCAATATTTCAACCAACCTCATTAAACTGGGCGAGTTTCTCTTTAAGTTCTGCTTCAAGTGCAGACACATCTTCTCCTTTTGTCTTGCCAACAGGGATCTTATAGAAGTAGGGAGTCACCTAAAAAGAGCATCCATTCATATTGATGAAACCGTTGAATTAATTAAATCTAGCAAGACATACATACATACATACATACATGCATACTATCCTGTGGAATAAGTTGGGAAATACCTTTGAGAAATGCTCCAGCAGCATTTTCTGTTGGGCCCTCTCAAACGGGTCAGATGGGAGCAGTTTCTTCTCAGGATAGACCTCATCCAGGTACTCGCAGGTGATTGGTGACTCGTAGATCACATGACCACTCGGGGTCTCCAGTGTTGGCACTAAACCAAGAGGATTCTTCTCCAGAAACCAATCAGGCTTATTCTTCAAATTGATGTTGACGATGTCATGTCTAGGGCAAAATACAATTATTCATAGGGGCTTTTCTTTTCACTCAAAGCAGACACTATTGTTCCCCAAACATGTTTGAAATCATTTTATTCATGCAATGTCATGCACACCCTCTGCACAACAAAAAAGCCTCATACTAACTAAATAACTCACTAATGCCCATTAATGTTTGTACTCACGTAATTCCCTTGGCATTGAGCACCAATCTTGTCCGTTGGGCAAAAGGGCAGAATCTCATGCTGTAGAGCCGTATGTGGTCCTTTGGCACAGGGCCAGGAGCAGGGCTTCCTGTGGCACAATTTAAACAAAAATCATGTTAGAACTAATCTAACCATCTCTGCGATGACATTGATGTATAGTAATGTGAGTCACTTGTACATGTTTATAATGATCCAAAATGTATTTTCAAGTATGAGCTGGTTTTTAGTGTTAACAAGAGCATTGCACATGATGTTGTCATTATGCATTACATTTTCATTATTAAAAAATTAATAGTGTACTTACTAAAGTTAATAGTCTCTTATGTGGATGAAATTTTAAGATATGAGATATATATTAATTTAAAGTTAACAGTATCTTGTAAACTAACTCTTAAGGTCGACTGCTAAATCCTTTCATAGAAACACTTCCTCAATCACAACACAGGCGTATTTTGAAAAATTGCACTTGTTTAAAATCTAAAGCATAACTGGTATGACTCCTTTAAGCAATGCAATCTGTGACAGTGCTGATTCCAGGAGCGCATGACGCAGCACTTGTATGGAATCCGCACAGTCATAAATATCATATACAGTAGACAGTAATGATTTGATAAAAGTGCAGTGTCATACTGCCGTCAGCACTAAACACACCTGGCCATAACGGTTATGTGACTTGTCAAGTTTTCGTGTACAAGTTCTTGTACACAATGAAATAACAATGAAACTCTCCGTTTCCTAACATAACAAAGACACATCTGGACATGTTTATTAAAGACGTCATTTAAGATGATCGAGTAGATGTTATATAAATAGACTGTAAACACAACACAATCCTGCTCAGTCATTGAATCTACAATAAAATACTTTTTTTTTTAAACATGCTGCTCTAAATTAAATTTTTTGGTGTCTCATAATGATTTCTTACCTTTTCCAAGACATTTCTGAGATGCTGCCATTATTTTAATTAGCAGTGGAGGAGCGGTGGTGGAAAAATAGACCTGGAATTGTTGAATTAAATGTAGAAGTAAAGTCAACTTCAATTTGAATACTACTGTTGTATTTGATTAACTGGACACTGGACAGAAAGTTAAGTAGGAAGTTAGGTAACCACTGTCTTTTCATAAATTCAGTCATTTAATATTTCACCGCATCGAACCTAAATAAATAAAATATCGAAAGGATACAGAAAAGATATAAAGCGCACTTAATATGACACTTACCTGTCTAATTGTATGACTTGCCACACAATTTCGGTGGTTAATGGGAAGTTGGTCTATTTATTGTGTTTAGTGATCCAATGATTAAACCTCAAACACTTCATTTCAAAATAAAAGTCCCCAGTAAACATACAACCACTATACTCAGTGAAATGTAATTCAAAGCTCAGCGATCACTGTAATGAAAGACCTTACACTTCATATGATCTCTTCTTCTCGACTAAATGTAAACTTTATGATGATCATTTAAGTGTGCAAAGCATTTTTTCAAATTTATGTAACATTTACATTTTTAAATGTGAGCATTCCCTTCTACAGAGGTGTAGTGACTTGGCATTCTTCTTGGCAATGGCACCTATTTGCATGATGAATGGCTTTTTCCCCTGTATTTGCATACTGATTTGTGGTTGGTTTAATCATAACACTGCAGGCAATATTTTCACACTTGTCTTGCACGAGATCTTTTGAGGAAAATTGTGGATCCTAAAATAGACAAACTGTAACATTTTACAAAACATTTTCTTCATAGTTGTGAATGAATTATCAGTAACAAGCTCCAGTTGATTACTGCAGTTAGAAGAAAGTCTTTTTACACCACACAGATAACATAATGGATATCACTTTATTTTGTCATGTATACAGTAAACACATTAAAACCTAAGTGTTCTTTCATAAGATGCTTTTAACCCATGTCTGAAATATCCTCAGATAATAATACAACAAAACAAACAAAATATAATAATATGCAAAATCTTAAACAGTATTTTGTGATGAACTCTCGTGTGACGCTGATCATCTTTAGACAAAAACATGGTTGAAAATGTGACGTAAAAAGGGAATAACATGACTGTTTTGATTAAAATTATTGATTAGAATTTGCCCACTGATGAATGATCTCATTCATTTTTAGCCGCTAATACCTGATATGAAGATTTCTGTTGCCATCACTGCCAAATCCAAACTATAAAAAAAGACTGTGCTGGTATATGTCTGACCAAACACATTTTCATGGGACCTGTGACTAAAGAGCTATGCTTTTATCATCCTCATTGTTCTGCCTTTCAATCTGTCTGTTGTAAACCTTTACTTGGGGCCTCACAGAATTCTTAAGATTTCAAAAAGTGAAGCTGAAGTGCATTATTTGAACATGACCAATTTCATTGCCAGACCTCACACCTTTCCAAACATTCACAGTGAGCCTTTAAAGTGCAGATGCGGAACTACCACATAAGAAAAAAACAAAAACAAAAAAACAACCACCTAAAATGAAAGTAAAATCAGCCCATACAGAGAACTATGAAGTACGTAAATAAATACATTTCTGGAGTTACATTGTTACATTGCCTGAATTTTGTTTGCATGTTCTTGGTTCTGTATTAATTAAAAATGCATCCTCAAAATATATATAGAGTTGCTACAAGACTGCAAAATGTGATTTTAAATGAATTCAGATACTGACAAAGTTACTCTATGATTAACAAATCATACAAGTCAACACAACCCCGATCCAGTGATGATGAATAAATGTATTTAAAAGAATGACTTGTTACTTCCTGTCACAGAGTTCACCATGACTCTACAAACGTTGTGATTTAGCAACCAGGGATTCGTATTTAGTCCAGCTCCAGTCTTGACCCTGTGTGAAAGAAAAAAGCAGTGAGTGTTACAGCAGCAAATATGTGCAGTCATGATCATATACAGAATTTCTATGAATTTCATAAACCTACAAAAAGCACTTACCACGATGCTCTCTGATTTCTCCTCAGTGGTTTCTTGCAGTAAACTGGTAAGCTGACTCAAATAGCGCTGGTTCTCCTCAAGTAAATGATTGATTGAATCTCTGAAAACAAACACTCGTGATCACATATGCTGATCAACTCAACTTGAAACCTATGAGGTGGTGTTAGTATCACTACTAGTAGGCCGCTCACTAAGGCTTGGAAGAGAAATTTACCCCTCGTGTGGCACTTGCAGGGACATGGGCAGGCGAGAGGAGCACTGGGCTTGAGTCTGGTTCCATGTTGACAGCGAGGAGGGCATCTCTCCACTCTGACTCACAGAGCTTCGTGTGCCGTTTTGTGCCTAAACACACATTCAATCACAATTGTTGGTTAAGCTAAAACATAAAATAAAAAGCCTTACACACAGAGGCATTTTAGAAATGCTTTGAATGTAGCTCAACCAATCAGAATTTAAAGTCAGAAGTATTTATTTGACAGTATTAGTTTTGCTTTGAGTTTTCAACTTACTAAATTTCCAACCGTTTTTACAGTAATGCCGATTTATAATTTATTTGGTTTGAATAATTTTACACTATCATTCAAAAGATTAGGGTTAAAATATTTTTAAAAAAATCTCTGCTCAAATGTTCACCAAGGCTGCATTTATTTGATCAAAAACACAGTAAAACAATATTATTGTCAAATATTTTGACAGCTTTCTATTTTGATATATTTTAAAATGTAATTTATTCCTGTGATGGTGAAGCTGAATTTTCAGCAGTCATTACTCCAGTCTTCAGTGTCACATAATCCTTCAGAAATCATTCTAATATGCTGATTTGGTACTAAAATGACCTTTGGAAAATTAAGAACGCATTCAATAGGCCAAAAAAATACTTACTACTCCATCTAACACACACTGTGCAGCAGGTTTCCTGGGATCTAACATGACTCCTGTTTCCTGCAGAAGCTCTTGATTCAAAAGTTCGATGTTGGTCTCGGTCTCAATCTTTTGTTGCAGAGAATGAAGCCCTTCATCTGGGCTAAGCAGAAATGAGTGAACCTGGGTTGTTGTCATGTTTAAGATGTGCACAACCTACAAAAAAAAAAAAAATCATATTTCAGCTCATTTTTCTTTACCTATTTTGCAATACAGAAGAAAGCCTACATTTATTGCCTAAATATGTAACATTTTAATGAAATGATGCAATAGCGCCAAAGTAAAACCTTCATGTTCAATATTTGATCTAGAAGAGCAAAGCATTGGGGCTGTTTTGTTTCTGGATTCAATCCTCCTCCCCTCTGTACTGGGTCCCACTTTAGCATCAGCTGTAGCAGCCCCTCCAAGGGCTCCAGTAGTGTCCTGCAGTACCAAAAACAACTAGTCAACTCAGAGACCCAGAAAAAAAAAATATAGTAACAAAAATGATGGTGCAAGAAATGTGAGGTTTTTTTGGTCTGTATAAAGGCTACCTGCTCAGATTGTTGGGGTATGGAAGGCAGGTGGAAAAGCGGACTTCGCCATTCATGTCTTCTACAGCCATTATGTCCTTAGGACCTTTGTTTCGCACTTTGCTGGTCCTAGAAAAAGAAAATATGTTTTATTCCATGTGAAAAAAAGATACAAGCATTGTGGCATAATTAATATGTAGGTTTTCAGGACATATACCACTGCACAGGCTGAAGATTATGAAGAAACGGCCGAAATCCACAGCAGCACTCAAAGATCATGGTGCCAAAGCTCCAATAGTCCACAGTGACTGTGTACGACTTGCCTTCAAACAGCTCTGGAGCCTGAAACATTCAAAATGTCACATGACCCTTCAGAAATCATTCTAATATGCTGATATGGTGCTTCTTATTATTATCAATGTTGAAAACAATTGCGCTGCTTAATATTTTTTTTTTATAGAAACCATAATACATTTTTTCTGGATTCTTGATGAATAGAAAGTTCAATAAAACAGCACGCAACTAAAACATACTTTTTTGTAAGATTCTAAATGTCTTTACTTTCACTTTTGTTTCATTTAAAGGGATAGTTCACCAAAAAGTGAAAATTCTGTCATCATTTACTCACCTCCAAGTTGACAGTAGCCACTAACTTCCATAGTATGGAGAAGAAGAAAAACACTATGAAAGTCAATGGCTACCATCAACTAACGTTACCAACATTCATCAATATATCTTCTTTTGTGTTCAAACTCACACAGGTTTAAAACAAGTAGAGGGTGAGTAAATGATGGCAGAATCCTTTTAACGCATCATTACTAAAGAAAAGCATTCATTTATTTCAACAACAACAAAACAAACGTACTGAACCCAAACTTTTGAACAGTAGTGTTATGTCGACTTATTGTGATAATTGCTTTTTCTCATCACTGATGAATGCAAAGACATACCAGATATTGTAAAGTCCCCACAAATGAAGTACATAGGCTCCCCTGGTCTAGGTCTTTGGCATAGCCAAGGTCGATTATCTTGTGGACAAGCTGCAGAGACATCAAAACAAGTCTGGTTGGAAAAAGTATGTCAATATTACAAAAATACTGACAAACTACTGAATTGAAAATACCTTTCCATTGATATCTTGTAGCACAATATTCTCTGGTTTGAGATCTCGGTGAATGATCTTATTCTCATGGAGGTACTGGATTCCAGAACCTGTAGAAAATAAAACAAACTGTTTTACTTACCACCCTTATTGATCGATAATAAAAAATACTGATAACAGTTTGGAAATGACACATTACCAACATCATTGAGTAGCGCCAACACCTCACTCTCTTTTAACCCACAACAATTTTCTGGCTTGCCGAGTAACTACAAGATGCAATACAAGGATACAAAGAACGTAAATGAGTTAGTAAAAATGTCAACAGAGGGCACATGAGACATGATGCAAAGCAAAAGCACCTTTCGAAGGTCTCCCTTGGAACAGTATTCCATGGCTAAAAGCGGTAAATCGTTCAAGGCAATGTGCATCATCTCCTCAGGCACATCCTTTGCTGTCACCACATTAAGGTGCTTCAGCCTGAAAAGTTGGGGGGAAAAAAGATGAAAAACACCCTCATACGATATTGTTAATTATGTATATATGTGTGTGTGTATACATACATAAATGAACTATATTTTAATAAAAAATAAGTCAAACATTTGATTGCTATAGATTTACACACTTTTTCATAATCTGGATCTCTCGACTCCATCTGTCTTTGTTTTTTGCATTAAGTTCAAGGCGACAGAGCTTCACAGCAATCTTTTCCGAGGTTTCCTGCAATAAATAATAATCGTGAGGAAAATTCACATTTTCTTTGTCTTTACAGGTAAGATAACCAAGCAAAGAAAACAATACATTCCCACATCAACAGTACTTAACAGTAACATCAAAGGCATAGCATTACCTGATTTTGATACAGGTAGACATGTCCAAATCCTCCTGTCCCCAGCCTCTCCTTCATAAGCCATGACCCACAGACCTGATTCTGTCTGAAAGGAGGTTTCTCCATCTGTACACATCAGTAAAACACCTCATCAGACATTTAACGTATAATGGCTGCTTTCAACACTACGACAGCTACTCGTGTTTGATCATGATGTAGGCCTTATAAAGAGGCTTCTTTACTGTAAATACCGTAGATGATGCTTAATAAGTGATATCTTTTTATCTATGGATTAATATTTACTTAGATATGGTGACACAGCTAGCAGGCGAGCTAATCCAAAGTATCAGCCGGTGATGACTTACCTTGCGTCAGTTTGTGTTTCTAATTTGCTTGAACCGACCACATCTGATGTGGAAAATTGTGTGACCTGTTAAACGAACGTATTAATCCATGGGAAACAACAAAGCTATCCATTTCATCCTAAAACGAGCATCGGATGTCAGATTTGCTAACTGGCTAACTAGCTAACGTTAAACGTAAACAACTCGATGTGAACTGTTGGCCTGCAGTCTCTTACAAGCCTCCAAATGTCAGCTTTCCATAACACCAGGCACGGTAAAACGTCGACCAGAGAGCACCTGAAATTCAAAACAACTAAAAATTGCTGCCCTAAATTGATGATTGATGATTGGATAGTCAGCTGCTACTCCAGTCAAAATCGACACAATGTCCGCGCATGCGCGGTGCGTCAGTAGCCGCCTGGGTTTCATCAGCACTGATCTAGGATCAGCTGGTCATGGCCGATGCAATATAAAGAAAGCCAAAACAAAGTTCGCGGAGCTGATCTCAAGTCAGCGTGGTCGGCGAGGACCTTCAGAAAATGGTATCCGGTTGTTGTGAAAGTAACTCCAGTGTCGCAAATTTGTTCAGATCTTTAAATCATAATTCCTTGTGAACTCTCTGTACGTGTTCTATATGAATCTATATGAATCTTTGAATCTTTGGATTCATAAAAACTCAAATAAAATAAGATAAAAATGAATTACATATCACTGATGAATGGAAAGACATACCAGATATTGTAAAGTCCCCACAAATGAAGTAGCCTACATAGGCTCCCCTGGTCTAGGGCATAGCCAAGGTCGATTATCTTGTGGACAAGCTGCAGAGACATCAAAACAAGTTTGGTTGGAAAAAGAATGTCAGTATTACAAAAATCAAACTACTGAATAGAAAATACTTTCCATTGATATCTTGTAGCACAATATTCTTAGACGAGCTAATCCAAAGTGTCAGCTTACTTGCCTTACCTTGCGTCAGTTTGTGTTTCTAACTTGCTTGAACCGACCACATCTGATGTGGACAATTCTTGAACCTGTTAAACGAGTGTATTAATCCATCGGATGGATAGATAGATAGATAGATAGACAGACAGACAGACAGACAGACAGATAGGCTAGATAGATAGATAGATAGATAGATAGATAGATAGATAGATAGATTCTCAGAACTGCAGCTATAGATGCATGCTGCTTCCCCCATTTCTGTATGACAGTTCTGAAAAATTTCTAGGAATTTCTTTCTTATATTTCTTTTAGAACTGCAGCTATAGATGCATGCTGCTTCCCCCATTTTTGTATAACAGTTCTGAAAAATTTCTAGGAATTTCTTTCTTATATTTCTTTTTACAATGACGAGAGAAGTGAAATGTGTCTCAAACTCATACACTGACAATACGTTCTTAGGAAACCATGTGTGTCTGTGTCTTTTTTTAAAGACGGCTGTCTCTACTTTGTATCTTTGACAGTGAAGCGATGCTCTGCTACTCTGCTTTCTATTTAGGGTTCATAGATGTGTTTTTGTTGTGCAGTCCCAAGACTGCCAGATTACCTTGAAAAACAAGTTAAACTGCTTGTTTTTTTATTTATATATTTTAAAATTTTTAATTTATATATTTTTTTATTTATAATAAAAGCATATATTCAGATGTTATTTTGTATTTATATCAGATAGACATGGAAACAGATCTAAAACGAATCTGTAAAGTCAACGTGGTTTTCTTGACCCAGTGTGATGTGATAAGGCCAAGCATGAGTAAACATTAACACCAATGTCCAGGAGATGGTGCTCAAGACTTTAAAATGCATGTAAAAATCCATCTCATCAGTAGCATTGGACAGTTGACCTCTAAACATATATTTTTTAAATAAACCTAATTTTGTTCAATTAAGAAACCTTAAATTATACTTTTTAATTTTGAATTTTGAATTAAATCTTCTAATGGAATATGTCTTTATTTTTGTCAAGGATGTTGAGCAATAAAGGTTGCATCAGCCAGTCAAGTAGCCAGACAGTGATAATCTCTTCTATTGAAGTGATTTCTTAATGTCAAATATGCTGTTGTCAGCAAATTTTCTTATTGGATGTCATCTTTACAGGAATAATAATTATAAAAAAAAGCTTAATCTTAATGATTAAATAAATGCCCATCTGCTGATGAATATGAAGTATGCATGCATATGAATTTAATTAGTGTTTGCAAGACAGAGCTGTATAGCTCAAAGCTTGAGCCTAAGTATTATAGTTCTGTAATTAATTCAGCCCAAACTGCTTAACATATGAGTCCATTTACACTTTATTCTTTTTAAGAAATTTAAGATTAAACTTTCCGAAAAGGCAACTTCATGCTTTCTACAAAAGAAGTCACTTACACTTGATGGACAATATCATAAAAGGTGATACAAACATTTAGCTGACACATCATATATATCATCACAGAAGCCAAACATCAGCAACACTGGAAGTTTGGTAGTGTGCTGAACAGGAAATGCGTGTCTGCAGATTTCTTAAGGTGATAGAGAGGTGACATCATCTCCTCTGGCTCTCTCATTCATGAAACCCCCCTCATTTATCATGTATAGATCTCACAGGATGAAATCCAGCTAAAACCGAGGAGTATAATACTATGATTAACCGTCTGAGATTGAGAAAAATGCTTTAGAGTGATTTAAAAAAAAAATCAAGAAATTACAAAAATGTAATATCACATAAAAGCCCGGGATTTCAACTTTATAATAAATCAGGCATGCAAACTGTGGCACGCATGTGGGCAGAGAGTAAAAACATATGTGAATTGTTCCGGGTTAGGAAACAATTAAGAAAAGCGATTTCATCATGTCACATTACTCTGTGATTTTAAAAATAGATTGTCTGGGTTAAAATTGACTGACAGCAATGAATCCCCTAGATGTGTTTGTGACAAGAACAACACACATCTGTTTTGATATCTAATTAATCTGAAGATCCAGTTTTTTCATATTAACTATAATATTAACTATTAACTATAGCTCAACAACATATTAACCCTTACAAGTTACCCATTTTTACTAGTCACAGAAAACACTACTTTATGTATGTGATCATTTATTTTTTAATTCTCAAAGCATGTTGTGAAATGGCCACTGCAATATAAAAACCACAGTGATTGTCATTGCTGCAGGGACAAAGTCCCTATTAGGAATATTTCCTCTTCACAGTGTTTTATGCATTAGAAAAAGAGAAGAGATCTTGAGTAATTTAGCATGAGTCACAGTATGAGGTTCCGCCACTCATTGTTTAGTGCACAGCGCATGTGCCAGTTTGCCTGAGGCCAGGCCCCCCTCAGCCAATCACAGCCTCGTCACTATAAAGCAAGGAACACTAACAGGCACATAACAGCAAGTGCTCAGGAAGCCCAGTGCAGCTCTACACTGCAACATCTGCAAGCAAATAAGCAAATCAACTACTATCAGTAAGGTAAGCACCGAATACCCTTTTTCTGGATCTGCTTTGCTTTCATTCTTTTACATTTGCATACTGTGCCTTTATAGCTATTTTTCATGGTCTTGATTTATACATATTGTGTGTGGGAATATGAATGAACTAGAATTACATTTAAATATGTTTATCCTCCCCTTTTGCACATAAAACAATGCTGATTTTGGGTTCCACAAAGAACATTTAAATGAAACGTTCTTAAAAGAACCATGTGTGAGGAATAATTTAATAAGTTGAAGAACATTTTTCCATTGCAAAAGACCTTTAGCCCAATGGAAACAATGGATGTTTAAGGTTTTTATGTAACTTTTATTTTTACGACTGTAAGTGCACTTGTAAAACATTTTTTAACCACACTTAAGGATACAAATATAATGTATCAATTTGGCTGCTCTACATATTATTATAGTAACATGCCTGAAATGTGCCAAGAATTTATTCAAAGGTACTTTAGGAGTAGTTTTATAAGTGATCAACATAATCTGATAGGTAGCATTATTTGTTAGAACAATGGACTTATAGTACCATTATATGCATGCTTAATTGTAATCAGTGCTTGCAAATTCATATGATTTTCTTGGCAATGCTTGTTTATTTATTTGTCAACTTTAAAAATGTTCCTGTTAACTTGAATTCCCCGTTTGTGGTGAGAGAGCATATGCCTTCTCTTTTAAAGATGTGTCTTATGAATATATAGCTCACTTCTTCAAAATGTTTTTAGGATCTCCAAAAAAGGAAACCATTGGTTTGCGGTCAAGATGAAGTGTATACTTAGGATATTACTGTTGACATGCGCCCTGTACTTTACTGAAACCGTAAGTGGAAAAACAAAATAGAAGTGAGAATTCTTACTTCCTACGAAAGGTCTTTAAATAGAATTGACCTTTTTACCCACACAGCTAATATTAATATTTCTGTTTTTAGGCTAAAAGCCCTTGGAGAAAATACACTTCTACTCGAGTAAAGGGTACATTTCTTTTGATGTTGTCACATTAGATTAAAGTTTTTCATTAACATGCTATTTGATTATTGTTGTAGTTTTAGCATGTGAATGTACAGTATAGGTTTAATCATGACTTTTCTCTTCTCAGATAAGTGCATACTTGATGGAAGCGAGGAGAGCAAAAACGAAGTGTCAGTGACAGTCAGTGGACGGATATGTCTACCATGGAATTTAGTATCAAGCAAAAACCCCTCCTTCAGGAACTGCTATCATAACTACTGCAGGTATTTATATTATAGAGTGAAAACTGAGATTATTTTGACACTACGTATATTGTGGGATTTCTAAAATGTCTAAGACCTCTGGATTTTGCTGTTTTAGGAATCCAGATAACAAGATTCAGCCATGGTGCTTTGTAAGGAAAAGAAACCGTTATGTACGGGAATACTGTGACATTTCCCACAGGGAAATGAAACCAAGTAAGTAGAAGTCCATCTCTTTTGATCATTTAAGTCATGGGAAAAATTGACTAATATGACTTATATTTGCTTATGCAGCCACCACGAGTCCACCCACATCTGACCCATCAAAGCAGGACACAGGTAAAATTATGATTGATTTACTTTTTATCGCCCATTCTAAACAAAAATCATGTAGTGGCAATGTTAGGAAAATCCCCAACTCGGATCTGTTCGCAAAGCCTAGAAAATGACCTCTCCTCACAGACTTCATTTCTTCATTATTCAGAATCAACATGTGGGGAGCAACGCTTGAACCGCATTACAAAGATAATAGGAGGATCAAGGTCAACTGTTGAGTCACAGCCTTGGATTGCAGCTATCTTCAAAGGAGAGGGATTCGTTTGTGGAGGAACTCTTATTGCTCCATGCTGGATCCTCACTGCAGCCCACTGCTTCCCTGTCGGGTATGTCAACCTGTTGTTAATGGAAAAATCTGA